ATGTTACTCAGAATTGTGTCCAAACAGCTTTTCAATATGTCCAGGGAAGGACACTACACAACCTCCCTGGGCAATCTGTTCCCATGCTCAGACACCCTCACAGTAAAGAAGTTTTTCCTAATGTACAGGTGGAACTTCCTGTGCATCAGTTTCTGCTCATTGTCTCTCATCCTATTATTGCTTGGCAACACCAAGAAGAGCCTGGCTGCATCCTCTTTACACCCTCTGTCATGGGTTTGACAATCAGGCCCCCTCCCCCCCCCCTTCCCCCTGGCGCTGAAAATAGTTTTTCCAGGTTTTCTGGAGCAAAGCCAATCAAAAGTTTTAGTAACATCTCTGCCAATTACATATTTAAGAAAACGGAAGAGAAGGGGGGTGGTTGCACAGAAGAAAATGGGAGACCCCCTCTCTCCCTCTCCCTTCATCAGGGAAAAGACTGAAAACTAAAAACCCTGCTGTCTGTGGAAGATTACTGAGTGAAGAGACCCTCTGCAGCTCATGAAGGAGCCCACGCTGAAGCAGAGGAGTGCATGAAGATGTGACTCCGTGGGAGGTCTAAGATTAAACAGAGTCCTGTTGGAGACCTGTGGCCCATGGAGAGAGAGACCTACGCTGGAGTAAGTGGGCTTGGGTAGGATCCTGTGATCCCAGTGAGGGATCCATGCTGGTGCAGCTGAATTTGTGACCCAAAGGGACAGCAGAGAATGGAAGAACTGTTACCTGAAGGTAGACTCATGATAGAGAGGTCCATCAAGGACTGTCTCTCGTGAGGAGAGACCCCACAAGAAACAGGGGTGGACTCAAAAGCTATTATCCCCTATGACCCTATGGGAAGACCATGGTGAGGTAAGCGTTCCCTTGCAGTCCATGGAAGACCCCTGTATCAGGGATTGTTGATAGTTTTTGGTCTGTGTTTGGCCCAGCCACCTGCAAAAGTTTTGTTCTTTGCCTGCCAAGTTCACTGATAAGTGGGAGTTTCGTCCTTGGAGAGAGAGTTTCTTGTATAAACTGTTTTAATAAGTGTTCTGTGATTGGTTGGTTGTCTGTAGAGGACATTTGAAGGAGAAACTGAAGAGGAGAGGATGAAGTAAAACCCTCAGACCCAAATAGATAAGACCCCTTGAGTGAAACAGTGCATGCATTAGGGGAATTCCAAAGTATTCACGCATGCCCTGAAGGGGTACAGTTATATAACCGAGCGGACTGAGAACCTCTCTCTGGGAGGTACTGGCCACACCTGCCTGGACAGACACAATCAATTGATGGTATAAAAGCAGTTGGCTGGGTTTTTTCGGGGAAGCTTTGCTTCACACGAAGGACCATTTGTCTATAGCGGGGACGCCTGCACGTGTGAGCCATCACCCCTCCGAAGGATGCAACTGCTGTAGGGGGTTTCTATGATTATTGGGAGTGGGTAAGATAACTTTCTTAGTGACACCTGTGTGAGTAGAGTGTCTCATATTCTTATTGTTCTCTTTCTCTCAGATGCCTGTTTCTTTTTTTTTCCCCTGGCCACCTTTTGCAATAAACATTGGGTTTTATTGCTGAGTTCACAGCAGTGTCTTGGTTTTCAATCTTGGCATCCTTTCGAACTCACCCTGTTTCAACACCACAGGGCCTGGGTAACCCCCAGCCTCTGGTCTTAGCCCAGGAGGGGGTAGGTCCAGCCCTGAGGTCAACATAGAAGAGAGAGAGAGAGAGAGACAGTTCCAGCTGTAGTCCTAGAGATAATAGAAGAAGAACTTTCGAGTGCTGCAAAATTATTTAAAAGATCTGTAGCTCCTGAAATGGAAAAGAAACTGCTTCTCCTCCTGAACTGATACAAGGGGAGAAGGATATTTCTGTAAATACATAGCACTTTTGCCTAGTTAGAATTGTTGTATATATAGTTCTTTAGGTTTTATCTTGCTAGCAATAAATCCTAATATTATTTTCCCCAATCAGATCTCTTTTGTCTGCATAAACCTTCTCTTAACTTATAGCAATTGTGTGGGGGGTGAGAGAAAATTGGCCCAGAGCAAACCCACGACATTTTTGGTGGAGATTGCGGGCCAAGACTGCCAGGAGATGCGGAGGTCGCATCAGACCACAACACCCTCCCTTCAGATACTTATATACATTGATAAGAGCCCCTTTCAATCTTCTAAATAGAACCAGCTCCTTCAGCCTCTCTTGATAGGAGAGATGCTCCAGTCCTGTAATCATCTTTGTAGCCCTCTGCTGGACTCGCTCCAGGAGCTCCATGTCTGACCTTTGTGATGCCTTCTCAGAAGTCCCCTCACCAAGATCAAAGAAGTTCATTTCAGTCCTTTTACATCTGGGAGGTCACTGATTTCATTCTTGGGTCTGTGCAGCAACTACATGGACAGGTTCTTGGGTGACCCTATTCTTAACAGCTCTCTTCCCTCTCAATTCATGTACCCAGGTTTTCAGCTTAAAGGTGGGTTCACCATCCCACCTTCATGTCTTCCTCCTAGTCACACGGAAAGAACCAGAGTTCACCACATGGCCTGCACTTGGGGTTTCCTTTCCCTCTGACCGGGGCAGGAGACAACCGACCTCTTGGGCTGCACCTGAGAGCTGAAGTGCTGACCCATGGGAATGAGGAAGCACCCAGAGTTTTTTCTACATTTTGGAAACAGGAGGACATTGCCTCTACAGGTGGCGGATCCATTTTCAGGTAATATAATGCTGCCAGGATATTGGAATATGATGCAGGGGCACTTTGAACCACCTTCCTTCATGTGGCCATCGTGCAAGAAACATCCTCTGGATCTTTAGGGGTGTCATCACTTCTTAGGTTACTATAGATGATTTCCAGCACTTCTAATTCTCTCAAGTACTGGATACCTTCATCTGCAGTGCTCTACTTTCTTGGGGAGTTTGTTAGATCTTCCTTGAATGCTTTGCCCTCATACTTGAGAGGAGGCATCTCCAAAGACTGCAAATTGTTCTTTCTTTTCCAATTCCTCTTTCAATTTCACGATCACTAGCAAGGGATCCCAGCTGCTGGGCTTCATGACCTTCCAATTGCTGACTATCAGCCCCGTTATCCCAGCATCGAAGCAGTCAGGTAGGAATCTGCTCACTGGGCTGGCGGCTGTAATCTTTCTGCAAGTCAGAGTTCTGATGAGGTTAGGGACCAGATAACAGTTTCCTGTTTGATTTGTCTGATTTCTTTTGTGGAAGGACCAGCTTTTTTATCTGCCCCCTCCCCTCCTTCTACTCCTTCTACTCCTTCTACTCCTTCTACTCCTTATTGTCCGTCTTCTCCTCCTTCCTCTTCCTGCCTTACTAATCACTGATATGGACCCGTAGCTTTCCTTATTCATTTCTTCCTTTTTACTACTGGGGCAATTACTGTAGTTGTGGTTTGAGTCCCTATCTAAGACATAGTGTTCTCCATCGCAGTTTGAGTCCCTGCCTCCACTACAGTCTTCTGATAGTATTGAACTGTGGCTCAATAGGCACAGGCCAGGCCCCAGTACAGGGTGAGAAGCTGCTGGTTTTCATTGGGGTAGGCAAGGCACCCTTCCATCAGGTGACGTGTCAGTTGGTCAGGGTTGAAAACCTGTTCTGGTGTGAAGTCTGAGGTAATGGGAGGTGTCAAACACCCTAGGAACCTGCCCAAATCCTTCCACACTCCCTGCCACCCTGGAACTGGGTACCTCAGGGCTCATTCCAATATATCCCAATATATCATCACCTAAAGTTTGTTTTCTTCTACACCAGGATAACACCAGATTCCTCGTACTTGATGCCTTAAGATTGCTCGAGAGCAAAAAATACCAGGTAAATTTAGTATAGAGATAAGATATAGAGCAGTCCTTTAATTGAAAGGCCTTAAATCATGGGAATACAAAGACACATGCCCATGTATCCAGGGGTTCCACAATTTATGGTATTGTCCATCCAATCCCAGAATTATCCACCCCCCAGATCCTCTCCCAGCACACCCCTCTGCAAATTGAGTTGGGGGTCTCCAAGAACCCTTCTTCCTCATCTTCCTCTTCTTCACAGCATGTACAGTCTTTTGGAGCTCCTCCAAGGTTAAGGGCTTGAAGGTTGTTTTGTCTATGATGTATCTTGTTGTTCAAGCCTAGGGTGCAAATGTTCTTAAACAAAATGAAGGCCCACCTTGAGCTAAAGAGTTTAGAAAGTTCAATATGAAATGGAGAAAAGGGTTTGGGCAAGTGTAAACTACTGTGCTAAAGTGTGACAAATTCTACAGCTACATGAAAATCTATATTTACTACACAATTACTTCTAAAATCTACTAAAAGGTAAAAATCCAAAAAGTTCTGAGGCATCAAACACCATAGTGTGCTGACAGTATTAGTTAGTAACAGTAACAGTACTAAACAGCTCACATAATGTTGCCTAAATGGCTGTGGAGAAAAAAGGACTCCAAGCCAAATTAGGTAGGAGATAAGATAAGGATACAAAGGTTTTAACGAGCCCCCAGGTTTTCTGGAATACCACCAGCGCGTGCACCCAAAATACAGATGTTCACAGTTTTTATAATGATTTTCACCCAATCCCGTCCAGCTACCACCCAGGTTCTGCCCCCGCCACGCCTCCTGGGAATTGGGTCTAGGGGCGTTTTGGGACCCCCTCTTCTTCATCTTCATCTTCCTCAGAGCGCGTAATGTCCTTGGAGGCCTTCCAGAATTCTAGGCCTGAAGATTGTTGGGTCTACGGCTATATCTTGTTCCGTAGGGTTAGGGTGTTTTTCTACAATACTACCTTGAAAAAGAGACTAAACAGGCTATGGAATTTAGGGAATTGATATGGGAATGGGTAACAGGGGTTTGAGCTGGTGTGTTGAGGGTAAAGGGATAATATGTTGCTACTCTAAAATCTACATTTACTACATAACTACTTCTAAGATCTACAAAAATTAAAAAAAAATCAAAAACATTAAAACTCCAAGGTATCAGTCCCCCCTTTAGAGACTGGACAAAGGATAAGCAAGAAGCATGGGAGACTTCATTATAAAGTGTGGCAATGGATTTGCCCTATATAGAATGGAAGAAGTCCTGTCAAAGATGGACTGGTGAAGGAAAAGAAGAAAACAGCTCAAATGTTATAGAAACAGAAGTTTTTAATGTTGTTTAAACAGATCTTAGGATGGTTCTTCTGTATTTTGCAAAGTCATGCTGTGTCCTTCTTTGACACCCCCCTGTAAAGGACCCTTATGCAGGAATGTCCTGGGTCTTCTCATTGGCCTTTGTTTCACCTCTTTCTATTGGCTATTAACTCTTTACCTGATTGGGTTTTTCTGTAGTACCTTGACCTGTTCATTGGTCCTTTTTTGGATCCCCCTGAAAGCTATATAAACCCCCACCCCCAATAAACTCTCTCTTTCGTCCGTCCCTCAACCGTGGTATGCGTGTCCTTCTTATGGGTTCATAGGGCCACGTGCTTGAGGGGCAGTTTGGGAGAGCATTACACCTCCAGAGAATGGTTTGATACCCAAGACCTGAAGGTGCCCCCCTCCAAATCAGCTGACGTAAATGGTGCCCCGTGGTGAGGTTACGACTGACTGAAGTCTTCTGTGAAGATTTGAGCAGTTATCAAGCGCAGAAAGGGGAGATTTCTGCGTCGATGACGGTCCGGTACTAAGCAGTTCAGAGTGTTAGCAGAGTTAGCTTCGTCACCACGACTCAGCCCTTCGGGACAGCAGCCTGTTGAACACTCCTCAACCCACCTGACAACGACAGGTCGGAGCAGTGCCGGCATATTCCCTTAAAAAAAAAAAAAAAAAAAAAAAAAAAAAAAAAAAAAAAAAAAAAAAAAAAAAAAAAAAAAAAAAAGGAAATATGGGTATTCCCCTCTCTAAAACTGAAAAAGAGAATTCTTTAAAATACCTTTCTAAATTTATGGTTAAAAATTACTATAAACTACCTTTTTGTCTTACGACAAAAAATTGGGATTTATTAGGAAGACAAATCTGGCTGGCTGCTAACACCAATGATAAAGCAGCAATTCATGCCAACATAACCTGGACTCATGTTTTGGCTATACTTGAAATTCAAGAAAAAAGTTCCACGCCTTCAAAATCTGAACAGCAATGTAACTCCATCTCTGCATTAGATATTCCTTGCACCGGTGCCGGCAAGGAAAGAGTTAATACTGTCCGAGACAGCCTGGCACCCCTCCTTCCACGGCAGAGCGGCGCGGTTTCCCCCCTGAGTTTGGGAGAGGGCGATCGAAGCCGTTTTCTGAGAGCGGGGAGGGTGGAGGAGGGGAAGCTTCTCGGCAGCCGCGAATGGGAGTCCCGCAGCAGCCCCCTTCCGTGGTCTGTGTGTGGCGGCGCCGCGCCGTTGGTCCCCCCCCCCCCAGCCCTCTGTGCATGTCGAACCCAGCGCGGCGACCCCTTTTCCTGCCAGCCCCGAGACAAGCCCTGACCCGCCCCGGACTGTTCAGTCGAGACTGCTGATAGAGTGCGGGAGAGAGAGGCTGCCTGTCTCTCTCGGGGAAAACCCTTACCCCGCTCCTCTCCCTCCGAGAGCAGACAAAACAGTCCTACCGCTTCTGAGCGAGGACTGTCCTCGGTGGACAGTCCTCGGCCACACCTCCAGAGACACTAAACTTTTTTCCACCGTCCCGGACGCAGCGTGACTGCCACGGACACTCGGGGGGGAGAGATGTGTTGAAAAAAATCCAGCAGGCGTGTGTACAGTGACACCCCCTCCAGCCGCTAGGCAGCTCCCGGCAGGAGACCACCAACCGCACCCTTTCCAGGCAGCTTCACAATTACAAGCCTCGGCTGCCATAACCACGTGGCCGAACAAAGGCAGCGTGGAATTCCCGGCTTTCAGAGACACCAGAACAGCGACAAGAACTTCCACGTTCCCTACGGATGCTGAGAGGGACGGGGTGACGTCACTGACATCCCCCGCCCATCCTCGCACGGCGCCGGGGGGAGATAAACCTCCGTTTCTCCGTTCCAGTTCCCCCCCTTGCTCGACAACAAATAGCAACAGAGATCAAATGCATCCCTCTGCACCGTGCCAGGATATACGGCTACAACAGCAACTTACAAACACCTCCACAAGCAGACATCCAGCCCAGCGACTCTCCACGGATCCAGACAGCATCCCACTCAGTTCTCACAACGCAGACCTACCTGTGACTGACTCAGCAGACCTGAATTCATCGAACAGTGCTCCAATTACAAACAATTCGCTAACACCATTTAACAATTTTTCTCCCAATAACCCATTTTCAAATATGTCAAATAATTTTAACAATTCTGTTTCTCTTTCTAACCCTTTTATTTATTCCACAGGAACCAGCAATGCCAATACTTATGGTTATATTAATAACATAGCTAGACATGTTAATGATTTTAATGCATTACAAGCATATCCAGTGTTTTATACTCCAGGCGGACCCCTTGTCTGGGACCGCTTAGCCATACCTTTTCTCAAAGATGCAAAAAAAGCAGTAACAACCTATGGTTTAAATTCAGCATATGCCATGGAAGTTCTCTCATCCTTATTCTCAGCTTTTGTACTAACCCCAAATGATTTAAAAGACATAATGAGATCTTTGCTAAATAAGGTGCAAGTAACATTGTTTTTAGATGAATGGAAAGCCTTAATTCGAAAATATGCACATGATACCAGCACAACAACACGTAGATCAGTAGAAAAAACCATAGAAATGCTTTTTGGTGAGAGTCCATATGCTTTAAATACAGAACAGGCCAAAATTCCGAAACAAGACTTAATTGCTACCAGGAATATGGCCTTACAGGCATTACGATCAGTAGCTGATGCCTCTCAAACAACACCACCTTTCCATAATGTAATTCAAAAACCAGATGAGTCGTTTATTGACTTTGCTGAGCGATTAAAAGAAGCTATAGAAAAACAAGTAAAAGTAAAAGAAGCACAGGATGCCCTATTCTTGAAGCTAGCTATCTCTAATTCAAATGCACAATGCCAACAGGTGCTTGGAAATCTTCGTGACCCCACCCCCATGGATATGGTAAAGGCTTGCGAAGATATCAGCCCTAATGAAAAGTTAACAAATACTCTGGTCCAAGCTCAGGTGTCCATGTCTAACCAATTAGCTGGAGCTAACATACAATTGGGCAACCAAATTGCAGAAGCAAGCCAGCAAATGGCAGAAAAAGTGTCTGAGGCTTTGACAGCAGCCTTAGACCACTCCAGAGTAATATGCCACTATTGCAAGCGTCAAGGTCATCTACAAGCTAACTGGCCAAAATTAAAAACCCCAATCCTCAAAAAATTACTCGCCCAGGTATTTGCCCCAGATGTCAAAGAGGGCCACATTGGGCTGCAGACTGTAGATCCCTATTTGACAAAAAGGGAAAACCACTCTCACCCAGGCCTGTTCCCAAAACACAGAATTCAGGAAATGCAATAACCAGCGTTTAGGGCAGCAAGCAGACATAAAAGGCTCTACTCAGCAATCTAATCTACCCCTCTCAAACAGTTCACAACAAAAACCTCAAACAGGCGCTTTTAAATTGGAGTTAGCAACTTCAAATCCTCAAACCTTAGAACATGCAGAGTATCACACTGTGTTATTGTCTTCTGCCTCTTCCCAGGTCTCAAATTGTAAAGGTAAATGTGTTATCACAGGAACAGAATCTGCCACTGCATTAGGTATTACTGTGTTACCCATGGTTATTAGTCTTCAAGATCCTAAAGTTGTGTCTGTTGGAATCAAACCTAACTTTGTACCTACAGTGATTAATCCAGAAGACCAAAGAGCACAAGTGATACCTATGGAGGAACAGACCCAAAATGAACAGGGAATTCTCATTAATTGGGCTCAAAAGGTTACTGCTGACAGACCTATATTAGAATGTACTCTTTTTCTATCCTAATTCAGGCCAACAGAAATCCGTGTCTGGCTTACTAGACACAGGGGCAGACATCACGATTATCTCTACCAAAGATTGGCCCAGTACCTGGGGTACAACAAGACCAGCTGTTGACATCCAGGGAGTAGGAGGGTCCAAAATTTCTCTCCAGAGCATTTTACCACTTCTGGTCCGAGGCCCACAGGGTAAGGTAGCATCATCTAAGCCTT